TGTGAAATATTTAATAAAATATTTAAGTTTTACTCATGGCATAAGAGCTGCAATACGCATCTTAACTTGGCCATTTTTAGCTGTTACAGCCGTGGGTTATGAGTTGGCCAATTAGAGAGCAATTACAGGGTATCTGCAGTCTTTTTTATGCCTTGCCGTATAATTACATGCGGGCACAGTTGGCAGCCTTATGGAAGTAATAATATTTATTTGCACAAGCAGCTGGGCCCAGCTGGGATTGCCGCCGGTTCAGCCCGTTCCCGTCCGTTCGCGCTCCAGTTCCAGTTCCAGTTCTGAGTCCAGTTTTTTTTTTGCAGTACTCCGTCATTCCGTTTGCCACTTAAATTTGCATTTTCATATTGAGCGGGCAGCTGTGGCAGCAATCAGAGATTGAGTAAAAGAAACTGGAAAACTAGAAAATCTGTTCGACTGTCTGTCCGTCGTTCGTTCGTTCGACTCTCTGTCTGTCGGTTTGTCGTCATCATAAATCGATAAAGGCAACGTGGCTGAGCGTGCCAAAAGTTGCCAATTAAATGTGGCAGCACAATTTGCCGCTAACCCGACTGCCTGCCACTTGTTGCACGACAGACAGCCCAGACCCAGGCCCAGGCCAGTCCTCGCAGTTGCATTCGTAATGAGCTACGTATGCAACAGACAGACTGAGAGAGGGAGAGAGAGGCAGAGAGAGGGAGAGAGAGAGAGAGCGAGTGCGATAAGTAGAAACTTCAACTGACTCGCAAATGCAAATTGTTGCAACTGTCCGACGTCAGTTGATAAGGCGGCTCTTGAGGCCTTTTGCCACCAGCAGCGGCAGTCGCATCGGTGGCAACTGTCACTTTGGGTGTGGCCTGACTAAAACTTTAAATTGCCTCCCAAAACGATATTCCCATTCCCCCTCTGCCTGTCCACTTCTCTAGCTATTGCTAACTAGCTCAGAGAGCGAAAAAGTTTGGTCAGTTTGCTTATAGATCGGAATTGAAAGCGGAATTGGAATCGGAATGGGAATTGGAATTGGGTTTTCTGTTATAATACGCTGAGATAGTGTACTTTAAATCTTATATATAGTCTGATATCATATGATATAAATATACATACCATCGAGTCTCAATAATTGGCACCCCGCTAAATCAAAAATCGCTAAGAATCGAATAAACTTCTTTTCTCTTGAAACAAATTATATCTCGATAGTTGTCAATAATTTGAATTCCTGTGTAAATAGAAAATAACTGATCCCCTTGCCGATAATTACCTCGACTGTATTATATATAAATATATGCAAAAAAAAATATCTCTATTTGAGGTATATTTGTAATCATCGATCTTATATTCAATCAATTCTATTACGATCATTAACCACTTTTTGCCTTGACTATAGACCAAAGACCATACGCTTAAGTGCAGCCATATTTACTAGTCGGTATCATTAAAATAATTTTTTTTTCGTATTTTCTAGTCGGCTGTCGCCAAATGGAGCATTCCCATTATATATCTCTAGGCCGCTTTCCACGCTCACTTTTCATCGACGTTGGCTTCTGCAGATGCCACAAACAATGCGCGCTTTTAATGTATGTAAATTTTAAATGAAAATAAAAATAAAGAAATCGAAAGACATAGACAGAGATAGAGATAGAGAAAGAGAGATAGAGATAGACAATAATTAAGCACACGTAGCTGGACTGGGAAAATGAGAAACTGGGCCTAGGTCTGGGGCTCTGCGCTCGGGATGGGTATGCTGCTCGGACTAAGCCAATCAACTGGCAACTGGAGACTGGCAACTGGAGACTGGGCAAAGAATTTATTTAGTTTTTTCTAATTTACATATCTAAGGCATTAGCTGAATGCTCGCTCGTTCGGCTATTCAAATTGCCTTTGCATAGATTTTCAGACTAAACAAATTTGTAGTTATCTGTTGTTGTTGTTCGTGTAGCTTTTTCTCAAATGCATTGTTTAAACAGAGAAAAACATGCATCTACCGTTAGGAGCAGCCAAACAGAAATTAACAGAAGTTTTTGTCAAAGCAGCCAAGTCTATACACTAGCCGAAGAGCTTTGAATGCCGAGGCATACATGGGGGTCCTCTAGGTTCTGTTTGAGCAAATAATTAGCTAAAATGTTGAAGAATGAAGGGCCAAGCGGTTGAGCGTCTGTCCCCATTTGTCATTTTGTAAAAGAAATTCAACCCATTAGATCCAATTCTGTATAAGACTAAAACAGGAAGAGCATAAAACTGAAACTCTTGATGGCCAAAGAGCTTGAGTAAAGTGCAATGCCCTAGCTGGCTGGCAGGGCATAGAAAGTTGGCCATGCAGTACGCTGCAAATTAATTAGACTCAATTTGTGGCAGCTGCCACAACTTGGCTCGCAACGGGCGAACAGATTCTATGCTCATATTGTGCTCAGCTGCATTTTTTTTTTTTTTTTTTTCGTCTTCTGTGAGCAGCAGCGATTCTCATGTAAATGCCAAAAGTTGCAGCATTGTTTAAACATTTACAAAAAATAAGAAGAGAGAGAGAGAGAGAGAGTGAGTAGAAACGGTAAACAAGTTGCTGTCAATGTGAAACATGGACAACATTTTTCTGAGCGCTTTCTAATCGCAGCTCGGACCGATAAGGCAGTCGTTAAGTTATGTGGCAAGTGTTGAGCAGAAGGAAAACGAGAGAGAAGAGGGGAGGAGATGGCGACGGCGAGGGAGTGCATTTGTTATACACTTTCCCAGCATTTGATTTTGGCATAATTTCTCACTCGCTGGCAACGTAATCGGCTGCCGTTGCACTTGTTCGATTATAGCCGCAAATCAAATGGCAAACAACTTCTATACAGATGTCAATTATTTTGGCCAGCAACGAACCAAATTGCAGCTCCACTTGGAGTTGAATTGGAGCTGGAGCTCGCTCGTTAGCCATGTTGCATGCCACATGGACATCAGACAACTACGTGAGGTGGCTCTTTGCAAAGTCAGGCCAGTCAGAGCCAAGACAGAGCCAAGTCATCCAGTCATTCCAAGTCATCTAGTCATCTAGTCATCCAATTCAAGAAAATTGCTAAGGATCGAACAGCTTGCAACTTGCAACATGCAGCTAGCTGCTTGCAACGTGGGGCAGCTGCAACATGGAGCTGCTTATAATTGAATGATTGCATGGCTAGGCAAAATGATTTGCTCGTCATTAACTCTCAACTGCATTGGCGTTTATCTTGGGACCCCATTCGATTCAATTGATTCGCTGCCAATAGGTGTCAAAACTATTTGGCTTTCATTTTGTAATCCCCACAATTCCAACAAAAAAATGCTGACACTATATATGCGCATATATGTATGCATGTACATACATACGTAAGTATTTGCAACAAATGGGGGAACGAGATGTCTGTCAAGTTCATTAAATTATTTGAAATGTTTTGTCTTTGTCAAGCCGAGTGACTTATTACAGACGCAGTCCAGAGCCTAAACAACTGATGAATGTGACGACCCACAGCTAAGGCAGTTGACTAGATGCGCTGTGATAGACGCACAAAAATACCCTGTAAATTAGATGCGGCTATTCGATGAATGATTCTATATAAAGACATACATGTATGTATGTATGTGTATGTGGAAAGAGAAATATATATGGATTTTTGTAGAATCTATATAATATATATTTTCACTTCTCGATTTCTCTCTCTCTCTGTCTCTCTCTTTCTCTGGCTCGTTCCCTCTCTCTGCCTCTCTCCCTCTATCTGTCTCTCACCTTCTCTCTGCGTCTATCTCTCTCTCTCTCTCTCTCTCTCTCTCTTTCTAGTATCCCTGTAATGCTCTATTGCTTTGATATAGAAATTTCTACTAGCTCAGCTCGTTCTAATTATCTCGAGATACAAGCCTATATAAGTTCTCAAACCAATATACCCCTTTTTCAACCAATTTCATTGAGTACAGGATATTTTGTCCAAAAGAGGACGTTGGTTGGCCAACATACACATGGACGTACTTGTGAATGTGAACGCTTGACAAGAAATTTATTTAAAAGACAACTGGCAACAAATAAATTTCAAGAGAATACTAGGCGCAGCTAGAGACAGAGACAGAGTGAGTGAGAGAGAGAGAGAGGAGGCAGAAACCTAGGTCTACAGATGCGATTCTCGAGCTTGTGTGCTGCTGTGTGGGAGTTGTCGTTGTCGTTGTCGTTGTCGTCCAGTCGTTGCCCTGAAATTCATTCATCAATGTAATCGATCAGACGCAGCTCTCTGCTCATGTCTGTCACCGAAGACGACGAATCGTGTAAGCGTATGTAAATGGCTCGGTTAACAATGCGACATAAAACTTAATCAATTTATTGCGAACGAGGCATTGTCTAACGAATACCCTGGCGAAAGAGCATTTTAATTATGTCATGAAATGCGCCTTCGAAGCGGAGTTAGGAATATACATATGTACTAGCTCGATATATCATCCATCTTCTACTCCGATCTATTCACTCTACTATTCCATTCTTATATTCCTCTTCCTTTCCTTTACTCTTTTACTATTCTATTTATATACTATTCTACTCTTCTACTTGTCCTGTCTTCTACTCTTTTATCTATGTACTTTCCGGCTTCTAGTCTTGCCTTCTTCTATTCTTTTACTTGTTTACCGACGCTCAACTTATCTTTGCTGCTAGAGTATTTATTATTTCGGCACCCGTCTGATTGCACCTTTCCCCCATTTGCTCCCCACTCCCACATTTGGCCACGAGTCACGAGCCAGGAGTCTAGCTACACTTTCTCTACTCGCAGTTGCAATAGAAAATTGCACAAAAAGCATAAATAAGTCGCAAGTTTTTCTGGCACGAAGCCCAAATAAATTTCGGAGATAGGAGCAGGAGTTGCCGAGGAGTTGGCTGCCTGACCGACCGCACCCACATGCTGGCTGAGTTATGACCGTGGCGCAGGAGTAGGAGATGGAAACACGCGTCTGTAGTTCGACTTTTCCAATTTCAAATTCGATTTGGTGCGTTCCGACAAGGTATAACAAACTCGATCATGAATTAATTGTCATGACAACACAAACACACATACACATATATATAAAACCTGTTACATGTTATATAAGTTAACTGTTAAACGCACACGAAGATAGAGGCAGGCACACATACACACACAATTCATACACGATGGTCAAGTCCAAGGAAGAAGGTTCGGCGGTGCTGATTAGCGTGCAGGAAATGAAGGAGCGGGAGAAGAAATATATGCAAAAGCTGCAGGAAATTAAAGTTTGTTGCAACTTTATCAAGGGTAAGCAAACGATCAGCCGATAAGTTCGATGAACGATAGCCGATAACTTGTCGCTCTGCAGAATCCTCAATCGAATTCCATCGGCTGGAGGAGGAGCGCTCCGCTGTCGAGCATTGGGAAAACTTTTTACGCTGTGACGGCTTGCCACGCCCATATTTACCACCCGAAATGCGCCAGTTTCTGGCAAAGAAGCGTTACTATCAACAGTTCTTCACGGAACGGAGCGTGGACTGGACCCTGTCCGTAGACGATCGCACCATACTCACACAGAACATATTCCGCAAAGATCTAACCAGGCAAACGGTCAAGGAGCAGCTCAACGATGCTATAGGCGATCAATATGAGCGGGACATTACCATGTTTTTGAATACGCTCAACAAGATCGATCGCATGCTCGATACGGCTATTGAAATGGAACGTGTGGACTTTGCACGTCAATTGGAGATCATGGAAGTGAGTTAGTTCGCATTACCAATTCACAATCGGTAGTCCAATAATTCTTTCCTAGGCGAGGCGTGAGATTGAACATGAGATTGATGACTCGTTTGATCGCCTGACCTATCGCGTCATACGCATGGACGGCGTCTACATGGAGTAAGGCCTGCTTATGAGTACCCTATATCTGTTGTCCCAGCTAAAGACTATTTTACAGCTCTGTGGATGGCCTGGTAGCTACCTGGAGTCATAGTTGCCCCCGATATGGCATAGATATCTGGGCTCTGCGCGATGTTCCTGTTCGTTTCGAGGAATTGCTGTGAGTAATGCACCAACTTCCAATCCCATTTGGTCTTAGCTTTTGTCCGTAGAGCTCCGCTGATGGTCGCCGAGATGGTTGCTACGTCTGTGCGTGTTCAGATGCCGCTCAGCGTGCTCCACGATTGCCTCACATTGCGTTGCATTCACTCGAACTTCGACAACTATTCGCAATATGCGAAGAGTTACGATCCACCCATACCGGAGAGCAATGTGGAGGTCAATGCGGGCATTTTGGATATCGAGGAATGCTTGATCAACGAATGGCTGATGCAGCTGGATATACAAAAGGAACTGTTGGCCATTCTGCTTGAGAAACGCGAGATCTATGAGGAGATAATGCGCGTCATCACCGAGCGAACGGAGCGCGCCGCCAAGGAAAAGAAGAACAGTGATGGCAAAGAGGCAAAGATCGTCATACCTAAACCACCCAAGGAAGCGCTTCTGGTGCCGCCAGGCATGTTGCCCGAGCCGTATAACACCTTCCTGGAACGCGAACAGCAGCAGTATTTGGATCTGCTCGATGAAATATACCATCCACGACATCTCAAAATAGATGACGATGTGGTAAGTCTTGAATCGATGGAGGTATGCCTAATGCAAAGATAGGTGTTACAATTGATCCACTGATTCCATTGATTAGCAATCTGTAGCCTGTCTCTTAGTCTTATCAATCATTCATGTTTATATATTGTAAATATCTCAATTACTAATAGTAATCTAATTCCCATTTGGATCATTCAAATATTCAGATCAATCTGAGGCAACACATACTGCTAGGCGGCCTATATTCAATCAATTTCGTGCGTCGCCCGACGGATACACATTACCAGACTTTTAATGTCACACTGCACGAGGATGGACGACTACTGCACATTAAGCGCGAAGTTGTGGCGGATCTGTTTAACCCATACCGTGACAGTCGATTGGGTCCCAGAGCAACCAAAGTGATGACAAAGCGATCAAGGATGTTAATGGACGATCAGAAGCGCAAGACCCATATGCTTGAGGACGATGAATTGCCATATTTCTTTGTGACCATACAGATGGCACGGGAGTTCTGTCTATGGGGGACGCCGATACCCTGTCAGTACCTGGATACCATGGAGGAGGTCAAATCGGAAACATCAATAGTTGAGGAAAAAAAGGAAGTGGCCGTGAAGAGAAAGAAATCTAGGATCAGTACAATGCCCCATCAGCAACAGGCAGCAGCCCAGGTAATCGAGGATTCACAATTGACTCAAATTCGCCGTGCCGCAAATTCAACGATCAACATATTTCGACCTACGCTGATTGCCTTACTGAGAACCAGTCGCAAACTACTGCCTGGGGAGCGTGTGTTGCCGGTCGAAAACTTTCACTTGATACAAAAATTGGATCATCTGAAAATCCGACAACTGGAACGATATTGTGTGCCACGGATAATATCCTCATTCAAATTTCCCATGGAAGTGAGAGAGGAGCTCGAACAGCAGCAGTCCGATAATCGACCAAAGCCGAAAAATCTGTTGATCAGGCGACGCAGCGTCGATACTGAGGAAACTATCGTTGTTGGCGATTTGGATTTCGACTATAACGTACAGCATGCGCCTGAAAGGGTCTATCCCGTTTTCGAATCTGTGGAGCGAATGCATTATGCTGAGGATGATATTAATGAGCCGTATTATGACAAGAAGTCCATGTATGGCCTGGTCGAAACCTTTGATAATATCTCGACCAGATATATTACTAGGCACATTGATATTATGTCTCAGTCTGAATTTACGGCCAAAAAGCCACCGAAAAAGGCATTGCAAAGCTCGGATTCACGAACTGGCATATCGTTCGCTAAAGGCAGGTCAACGGTTCGAATACAGAGTAAGCACATGGGCGCTATACGACCAAGTAACTTAGGCTCCGCAATTATGAGCGGCGCACAATCGAGCCGTACGACAATGGCTGAGGAAGTGGAGGAAGCCTACTCACCAGAGAACGTGCCCCGAACGCCAGAAGAACCGGAAGTAGAGCAGGAGAAGCCCAAGCAAAGGCTCATACGCTGGTCAACCAAACACATCATGTCCTATAAATTTGACAAGGAAGCACGCACCATGAGCATCCAAACGGATCGTTTGGGCATCTTTGGATTTGCCTACAAGCGCTACGAGCATTTCCCTTTCCGTGATTGGAGCCTGCAACCCAATGAAGAAAAGTAAGATATACATATATACACTATATAGTATCAGTTCTATGTCCTATATATCATTTAAAATTGTTTCTTTTCTTTCGTCTTTGTTTTAGCAATGATGAAATTATGCTGAGTGTTGATACTTTTCATGCACGTGTTATACTCTACATTTCGGCTGCAGGAGTTAGGGGCTATGTTACGGACATAACCAAGAATTATGTGGCACATCCGGTCAAATATTTGGATATACAAACTCCTATTACCGACTTTCGTGAGCTGCGTCGGGTCTGTTCTCTTTCTCATTCTCTGGTTTCTCGATAAATATTGAGTTCTTGTTTTTTCAGCGCTTCTATGAAAAGGGCATAAATATTTTTGCAGAAAACGATGCGTGCTTCTATATAGACAACGGTTACTTTTCGGTTAAGCACATGGCCACGGAGGATCACACATACGATGCCATGGCTCTGCACTGCAAGCTGATGAAGTTCTATCGCTCAAGCTGGAATCGTCTGGCATCGCGACGTAATTTATTGATTGGCATGAAGAATGCAAAAGATCCAACTGATTACACTGAGGTCACGATGCGCATTACACCTGATAATGTTACCTTTGTCGAAGTATCGGAACTTTGTTCCGACGATCTGGACATTATTAAGCTTGACTTTAAGAATACATGGCGCAACATGAGCGTAAGTTTGAGAGATCGAGTACTTCAAGTAAAAGTCTTATAATGTTTGAGTTCATTTAGAACTACACGGATCTCCATCAGGCAATCAATTCAATGAATCCATCAGCTACCGACGTTAGGAACAAGGATCCGCTTTTGCTCTTTCAGGTCAAGCGGATGCTTAACGAAATTCATGTAATGAGTTTTTCATAGTATTCGATTTGTTTTCTACAGAGTTCTCTATGTTTGTAAACAAGTAAAAATGTATTTGGAGAATTAACTGTCAGTTTTTTAATTTTTCATAAAAACACACACAGACACACACATACACACAGAATAAAAAAATAAAAAAATAAAAAAAAAAAAATATAAAAATATGTCGATAAACATATAAAAAAAATGTAAATAATATTTTAAAAAAATATAAAAAAATATTTATAAAAAAAAACCAATGAAAATGAATAAAAAAGTAAAAATAAATTCAAAGAAAAAGACCGAAATTGAAGGGAAAGAAGCACCGAAAAAAGATTTACCGTTTATCTCTGAACATGACTGGCAAACACGGGAGCTTCGTCACATGCAGAGGATACAAGATGTGAAAGTATGCCTGAGCTTTATCACGGGTCGGTGTAAAGTCTTAACAAACTAGCCACAATCCTTTAAGCTCATTCCCATTTAGAGTCGATTGAGGATTACAACAAGCTGCAGTACCAGCAGAGTAAGGCGCTGGCATGGAAGCGCTATATCGACTGTGATGGCCTGCCACGGGTATCTGACCCGCCAGATATCCGTAAAATGATAGCCGAATTGAATCATTTCGAGGAGTTGGAAACGACGTCGACGGTCAGTTGGGAACTGGCTGTGGATGAACGCAGCGTTCTCTCGCAGAGCATCTTCCGGCAGGACCTGACGCGCCGAACACTCCAGGAGACTCTCCGCCCCAATATCGGCAAGTTCTTTGAGGAGGCTGTGTCGCGTATTCTCATTACTCTCGAACGCATTGAATGCATGCTAAACAACGAGTACGACTTGAGTAATCTCTCAAACGAACGGATCATTGAAATATTATGTGTGAGTGCTTCAAATTTCAAACTGATTGAAGATTAGATTTGAGTGCCTAACTTAACTTTACCTATGATAAAGTTGTCTCATAGATAGGTTATTCCCATCGTTTTTATCACAATACCTTTGCAGGTGCGTCCAGAGCTGAGTCGGGAGATCGATGTGCTCTTTGATAAGCTCACCTACCGCATTGTTTCAGCACCGAGTGCCTTCAGAACGTAAGCATATATATTGACTAGCCAGTTATTACAACAGCTATCTCTCAGGTCATACGATGGTATAAAGGAAACCTATTGCTACAATTGCTCCAATTTTAATTATCAACTCTGGTGGCTTAGCGATGTGCCCGTGCGCTTCGAGTACATGGAGTAAGCTTTGACAAAAGTGTGAGTTACGCCTCGAATTGAATCGATCTGGCCTTTTCAGACTACCCCTAATAGTGGCCGATTTGGACGGTGTGGGCATTAAGGTGCAGATACCGCTTAGTGTTTTATGTGACAATCTAACTCTGCGCTGTGTCCACACCCTCTTCGATCATTTGTCGGAGGAAGCGAAAAGCTATGAGCAGGTCATCCATGGCGCGGTGAATATCAACGGGGGCATAATGGACATCGAGGATTGTCTGGTCAACGAATGGCTGATGCAGTTGAATATTCTCGACAAAATAATATCAGAATTAGAACAAACGTTAACCGAATATGAGCAATATATGGCGTGAGTGAGCGCAGCAATCTGATGTGAAAAATTCTATTTCCAACTAACAATAACAATAACACCTTAGAGAGGTAGCCCAAAAGGAAGCAACAACTCGATTGGACGAAAAAAGAACAAAAAAAGCTGGTAACAGAAAAGAACCTAAATCAAAACATTTAGAGAAAAGGATTGTAAAGCCGCCTGAAATGTTTCCGGAGGGTATGTTTCCTGATCCCTTACAGACGTTTATAGAGCAAGAGCAACAGGAGTTTGACGATTTCTTAAATCAGTTTCTAAATCCTGAAAATTTGAACTTGGCTCCTGATGAGGTAAATCGATGAATGTAGGATATCCAAATTCGGGAATTTATTTTTGCAGTACTACAGATCAATTTGCGACAATATAATATTTTGGGAGGCCTCTATTCGATGCACTTTGTGCGAAAGCCTCTGCACAAGGCCTTTGAAAGGTTCAACATAACCCTGCACGAGGATGGACGAATACTATATACCCAGCAAGATGTGCGAGCAGATATTGGCAGTCGCAGAGCTACGGGTCTAAAGTCACGATTTAACTATACCCAAGCAATGGAATCACCGGAGAATCGACACTTAAAACTGAACCCAGATGAGGTTTCATATTTCTGTTTGACCTTCCAATTGCCAGAGATGCTGTGTCTATTCGGGGAGCCCGTGGTATGTCAGTTTATCGAAGAGGAGATCGACGATAATGAGTCAGACGAGGTTTCGATTGAAGCTGGAGAAGTCCACAAACACAAAAAGAAACATAAAAAGCATTCAATTGCAAAGATAGGTCAGGAAAGTAGGAAGAGTAAAATGCGAACATCGGGGGGCTTGGAAGAACGTCTACCCAGACCTAATATGACGCTCATCAAACGAAAGTCGATGAATGTTACAAATATCTATCGTCCCTCTGTCATAAGTGTACTTCGTAACAACTTTACGCGCCTCTCTAGCACCATTGAAGGCGAATTGCATGACTTTGAGGTGGACGGTAAGCAGGGAAAACCTCTAACTCCCCTTCAAGTCCATGAGCTGGCACGATATTGTATGCCTCGTATATTGTCCTCGTTCAAGTTTCCGATGGAGTTCCGCTTGGAGCGAACCGAAGAAGTGGCCCAGAGAGCTAGGCGCGGCTGCACGCTGTTGCGTCGGCATCACGTCGAGCCCAAGGTGGTCCAAGAAGACCAGAAGCCAGAGTTTTTCAGCTATGATAAGCAGACAGGGCCCGAAAGACTATTTCCCATTTTCGATCAACATGAGCCATCGAAATTTCTCGTTGAAGAATCAGATATAGATTCGTTAGAAAGCAAACATGTGAAAGTCCGTCGTACAAGCAAAACTCAGGACCCGAGTGATCCCACAAAGGTCACATTTTATGGGATACTGCACACTTTAGATGGAATCGAAGAAAAGTATATGACTCGTACAAAAGCAATAATGGATCAGTCGTTTGGCACTAAAGGTTTACGGCTAGCCCCATCAGATATGCGGACAAAGTCATCTTCAAATCGCATGTCCGTAATGAACAGTAAACTAACCTCACTTATAAAGACCTCACGCTCGTCCCATTCGGGTCATATTTATATTGATTTACGGTCAGGCAGCGAAACAGCCAGCATAACCTCCTACGAATCTGTGACCACAAAAAAATCAGTAAAGGAGTCTCTGAAACCAAAAAAAAAGCTACCCAAAGTGAAACACTGGACCACTAGATACATAAAGCACACCGAGTTCTTACCGGAATCTTGCACATTCAAGATACAAACAGACCGATTGGGCGTATTTGGTTTTGCATTCAAGAGCTACGAGCACTTTCCCTTCAAAGGCTGGTCCCTGAAATACAACAAGGATAAGTAAGTGAAGTTGGGAAACTCGGTAATTATAAATTAGAGGATTGCTTGTCGATTTTTGAGACCAAATAGATTTGCTAGTCATAAATATGGTGTATGCTCTATAGAGGGTCTCTTTCTGGTCTTATGGTTAAGCTATATATGAATTCTTCAGCTCAACTCCTTCTCTTTATTATCTCATTTAGTATCAACGAAATCATATTTACATTGGACACCTGTCATGTGCGCGTCATCTTGTTCATAACCAACGCGGGCATCCGGGGTTACGCAACAAAGATAATTGAGGAATATGTTGCCAATCCGATCAAGTATCTGGAAATCAAAGAGCCCACATCAGACTTTACTGAGTTGCGTAGGGTAAGCCAAACTGGAAGCCAGGAGATATTAAGGGGATCTTTTATAGCCCATATCTAATCGATGGATCCGTTTTCATCCTGTAGCGCTTCTGCGAGAATAACATCAATATATTTGCAGCGCACGATGCCTGCTACTATATTGAGAAAGGTTACTTCTCGCAGAAGCATCTGGCAACTGAGTTGCATGTCTACGATGCCTTTGCCATCCACTGCAAGCTGATCAAATTCTATCGCTGCGATTGGAATCGTTTGGCTCCTCGCCGAGATATATTGCTCTGTTTGCGTAATCCCAAAGATGTGAACGATGGTGCGGATGTCACGATTCGCGTAACGCCCGATAACTCAACATTTGTGGAGGTCAGTGAGTCATGTATGGATGATGTCGATGAGATTAAGCTAAGCTATCACCTCACTTGGCGCAACATTGGAGTAGGTATTCCAGACCCTTGGATATTTATCTGCAACCGCATTTCATGTTCGCACTCTTTCTTCCTAGATTTATTCGGATGTGCATCACCTGATCAACTCAATGTATCCACAGGCGACGGATGTGAGAAATCGTGATCCCAAGCTAATTCACTACATACGCACACTGTTCAAGGAGATCAGGCCTTTAAGTTTCTCCTAGTTGGGGATAGATGCTGAGAGGAGTGCCCTTTCCATATGTAGCTTTAATAAAAACGCATACGCTTCTCCAATTGACGTCAATTAAAACCAATTTGTAAACAACTCTCCACTTGACTTTCTTTGCGACCTTCTTTCCCAGTTGTAACTCAGCTGTTTCGAATCGGTTCGGGGTGGCCATTCGATACAGCTTACGTAAGAGTAAGATATCTAGTAAAAATTCTTTCGCGAACTTATTTGATTAGTTACTTTCAATGCGGTTGGTATTCGTGATATATTTTGCACTAATTCAACTTGGCCTGAGTCCTGAGTGTGAGGCTCAGGCTAAGACCGAGGTTCAGGTCAAGGCTGAGGAATTTTCTAATTTGCGGAAACTTGTGATGCCACCTGCAGTGCAGCGTGTTGTCGGTGGCGAAGTGACAACGATTGAAAAAGTCGGTGGATTTATTGTCGCGCTGCATTATGAAAACAGCTTTATATGTGGGGGCTCCTTAGTGAAAGATCGTATTGTTCTGAGCGCTGCTCACTGTTTTCTTGGTCGCACCAATAAGTCACTGTGGCTCATCAAGGGTGGCGTCTCGAATCTAAACGACGATGGTCCCACGGTTGCCCTGAGGGACTATGTAATACCCTCTGCTTTTGATCAGGCCAGCATGCATATGGATGTGGCTATATTGCTCCTGGACAAACCGCTGAAAGGCCCAAACATTAAACAAATTCAACTGTGCAAAACTCAATTGTTACCGAATATGGTTCTGACTGTCTCCGGTTGGGGTCTAGTTGATCCTGAAGGCACCTTTGTGCAGAAAACTTTGAGGACTGTTAGTGTGCCCGTTATCAAGAAGAAGAAGTGCAAGCAAGTCTACAGAAGCTCTAGTGAGTTCAATTCGAACCCTATTTGATTTGGTTATGTTAATTTCCACTTGGCAATTTGCAGTTCAGATAAGCAATAGCATGTTTTGTGCCGGCCTTTTGGGAAAGAAGGACGCGTGCACCTTCGATTCGGGCGGTCCGTTTGTCTACAAGGATAAGTCAGGACAATTAGAGCTTTGTGGCATTGTCTCCTTTGGCATTGGCTGTGCCAGCTCCACATATCCGGGCGTCTACACAGACGTCAACTATGTCAAGCCATTCATTTTGAGCACCATTGCAAATTTCTGAGTATGAATGCCTTTACGAAACTTTATAAAATTCAAGTCGATAAATCAAGTAAATCTTTGAAGGAGTACTTGTTTTTGTTGTATAATAGTTATGATAGATCTGATAGATCATCATATTTGTTATTAAACTTTCTTCATTCTGTTCTTCTGATCCCATTGAAATCATCCAACTTTTTTTAGTTACCCCCAACTAAAGCTCGCAAGCACGCAATGAAATAAGATTTTGTTCCTGCCATTATTTGCATCTTGGATGAAAGTTTCGCGCCCTACTTTGGGGCATTGCGTGTTCAGCCAGCGACAGCGGCAGCGGCAGCGGCAGCTCCTTGCTGATCACTGTCTTTGATTCCAATAATTGATTGCAAGGAGTCCTGGCTGCGTTGCCTGGCGGCCCGAAGGCACAATTTTAGAAGCGATGCTCGCACAACGAACTTGTACCCAAGTCTCTGTCTTGAAAAACCAGCAAAAAATGTAAATTAGCTGACCAAATTCAAAGTGTGTGTGAGAGAGAGAGAGTGAGAGTGAGGGAGAGAGAGGGGTAGGGAGAGGAGCATGTATCGAAATTTATTGTTGCATGACTGACGGCCTTTCGTCTTCATTCGAATTAGTTTAATAATACAATTAATTGTTATTTATAGCTTCCTCTCAGACGCGCTCTATCGTCGAGGATAAACAAAATCAAAGACCTCTTAAATGATTGTTTATGGCACGCAACACAAGTTTTGATAGAGCTTCTAACAGTTTCTTGGACAAAATGATGGGAGTAAGAATGTGATGAATGTGAAGTTGCTGAAATTGGTCTAAACAAGTCGATTTCAAGTAATTTAAAGTAGCGGGATTTTTGCCTTTTATAAACTATATGGCAAAGATTGTTATTTAATGTATATAGTTATAGTTTTTATGGAGAGCTATTCCAGCTGTGGTCCATTGCAATAATTGCCTATACTCCAAACTTTGCCTCGCATCTGGGATGTATAGCCGCTTAAAGGATGCTTGGCTAGCCAAATGCCTGACATATTTAAAGCCCTCAAGTAACAGCTGCTCAACGGGACGTCGACTAACAACCACATAAACATACCTATAAATACAAATATATATATATTTATATATAAACATACATATATAGACGACACTTTGCGGTCTGCGTGTCTGACAGGTTGTCCCCGGTTGGGTTTTCCTCTTTCCTGGCTGCGCTCGAGCTGGCATTAAGTTTATTTATCTGCTTTTAAATGGCATGCATACGCTTGCAATATAACTCCCGATGTCATGTAATGTGCACCAGAAACAAAGGCAACATAATGTAGCAGGCTGGCCCCTCCGTCGCGGCACTGGAGTCGTAACCACAGATAGTACGACTACCATTTACTAGTCTCATAAATTTATGGCACATTGTGAGCCAGTCGGGCTCAGAGACTCTTCCTGGCTCCCAGCGGAGACGACTGTAGGATTTCGGTAGTCGGCAAGTCGGTAACATAACATGCAAGCTGGCACCTACGGTGCAGCGAGCCTCAATCTCTAAAGATTTACACATGCCTCCTCTTTGAGGCTGGCAAAAAGAAAAATATAAATAAAATATTGAACAGAGACAGCGATAGGCATAGAGCTGACATGCTGTGTGCGAACGATTCATATAACCAGACAATCAGACATATCGAATCGCATCTACTATGCGGCGTTAGTTAAACTCTTCAAGACTCAGCTTCGCTTTGTTAATTAATGAAACACATAATCAAACAGCGGGCTATAAGCCAGGGAGGTGCGTTAAAGAGAGAGAGAGAGGTAGAGAGAGAAGCAGTGGTAGGCGTAGAGTGTGAGTTTGTCTACAACAAACTGGTTCGCTGCACAGTTTCTAAAGAAATGCTCAAATACTTACTTGCAGTGCGCAGGTAAGAGCAGTAGAAATGCACTAGGCGAGCAATGAACGACTAGAAGATGCTACGCAGTCGATTGATGGAGTGTGAGTTAAGGGCAGAAGGCAGACAAGTTCTATGGTAAATTATATGGTATAACGATATATTATGGTAAAACATGGCAAACGTTTTGTAGACTTACAAAAGTGAAAGTATTTATATAGCACTCTTATGAATGAGTACACAAAAAAAAAAAACAGAAATTTATACAAATGGAAGAGTAGAAAAGTGTATAATCAGTTCCTACTATATAGAAGTTGTCGTCAGTGGAGCTATGAATCATATAAAACATCGCAAGAATAATGTAAAGGGAGCTCTGTTAGATATAATACAAAACAATATAAGTAGTATTATACCATTTTCATACATATTTATACTGATATATATTTAAGGGAATATCAAGTACGTAAACAGCTGAACTAGTTTCTAGTTCTACGAATTTAATTTCTATTGCGGACTGAAATATTTATTATATATGTATATCTCACATACCGTCATCTGTTCCAAGCACACACTGAAAACCATTTTAGCCCCATCTCAATCACTTGGCTGCACAGGGTATACAAAACATATCTTGAAGAGTTGTCAAACACTTGATCAATAGCGGCAAAGTCTGTGTAGGTAGTTGTTGTTGTTGCTGAGTATCTCACAGATGGATTTTATTGTGCAGCGCCGAAGTGTTTGCACAACTTAAAAGCCAATAAAATTTGTTGTTAATTGCTTTGGTAAATTGAAAAAATTAGGTTTGTTTTTTTATTTTTTTGGGAAATAGCCGAGCAGAGAAGGGAAAGAACTGTGCGTAGTTTGTAGTCCAGTATTTGGCCAACAAATTAGCTAGCCACATTTAATGACCTTTCAAAAGCCGCTGACAAACCAAGACGAAACAGACGAGAAAAACCCAGAAACTAGACAAATCGAAACTTAAAATTAATCCGCTTAAATGTAATTTAAGTTAGGCAGACTATAAGCCTCAATAAGAGTTATAGAGGGAGTATGAGCGGGAGGGATGGGTAGAGACCTAAAAATCGTTTAATTAAAGTTCAACAAAAGTTGAAAAGCGATTTCATGCCGCGTTGAATCAACAAATTGTAAACTTTACCAAAGCGCCAAAGCGAGCAGAGAAATAGTGCCTAGGGTGGAGGCAGCAGGCTGGTGGAGGGGACTCTTCCATTATTTGTACTTATTTAAGTGCTTGATCATGCTGATATCATCACCTGGCAGCATTTCTTTGTGCCTGAGAGTTGCCTTCAATGCAATTAGCCTCCGCGAACGCCAGGTGGTCTCCTCTTCTTCGACTTTTTCATGCTCATCGAACGAAAATCTCAAATCGAAAAAACTGTTACAAAAATAAGACGGTGAAACGAAATTTATATATGGGAGCAGCATCCAAACAGCAAACGAATCATTCGAGTCGAACGAAGAATGCGCTTCTATGTGATTCTCAAATAGCAAAAGAAACCATACTGATAATGAGCCTATCTTTAGAGATTACCAAGACTTTTCTACTTAAGAAATTTCTACTTATGTACAATAGCTCCTCATATTCTCTGTGATTCTGAATGTACGATTCAATAATACCATTTCACTATCCTTAAGTAGCTGAAAGCAGCTCTAGCGAATCGACATGCTCGCTGTGTAGCGCAACGTGCGTCGTGTTGACAGTTATTGATCGATGTTATCGATGGGAATACAATGTTGAAATTAATTTTGATTGCGCCTCCAATGCAGGCCCCCGATAAACTTGTACCGGCAATTGGCTGAAACACGTGTAATTTACGTACATTTGAGACTTTAAGAGTCTGCCTAATGGCCAGTGGGCGACGTGTAGCATACGTTAAGCAGACCTTGCCCCAGACGCTGTCTTTCCCATCAGCTGGAGCTGAGACTGAGGTTGAGACTGAAACTGTGGCACAGTTCAATTGTTCCACTAAATATCTTGACACTGACTAATTCGGCGGCCATTAATCTCACGGCTGCTTAGTGTCAGTGGCCATCAATATGCGCATCAAATATGGAAAAGGAAACACGTTCCGCTCCGGTAGATCAAACTGATGAATGTGACTGTGGCCGAGTTGTGCGGCACGCTTGGGGGTTGCCCAGACGAATCAGACGGGTTACTTAGTCGGACAGTCTCTGTTGGATAGTTTGGCAGACAGTCAGCCAAGTGAATTAGGCAAGGAAGTCGAAGCTTTGTCTGCCGCTCCCTTCTTTGCGATTCTCAAGCATCTATACTAGTTACTCCATAGTTTGCCAGTCAATCAATCAGGATCTGCAGTCAATCAGACGGCAGCCCCAGCTGCTCTCCAGTCAGTCCGTTAGACAGGCACTCAAAAAATATGTCTGGCAACAATTGCTTGCCACAAGCCAGGCCAGCTTGCCGCAGTTCGTGCTGTTGCATGACTACCGGGCATCATTTTTGCCTATGCACTGCGAAAACTGAGGCAACCCAAAGAAAGAAATGAACACGTCGAATGCTTTGGCGCACGCGCACAGTCGTTGACTCGCTGGCCCCCCTAGCCCCATGGCCCCGCCGCGACTGCCACCCACTCGCTGTGGCAGCCGCAGGGCGAACGTTTTCGATTAAGCAGCCAGCTGCAGCGTGTGCCAGTCGAGCGTCGCAGCGCCAACTGAAGTGCAACGCAAAGCTGAAAACTGGCAACCAGATCAGCTAGGAGAAAATAGGAGAGCAGGCAGACGTTGGAAGGCGGCAGGGGTAGGGGCTGGAGATCAACCAACGCCTTCGGTTTACATTTTACAATCCTAACAAGGTTCAGGCCAGCGCGATAAAATGCGGCTTTGCCTTGGCCAGGAGGACTAGGAACTCCACTTCACTCCACTCTACTCCACTCAGCTGAACGTCGAGGCAGTGGCACATGCCCTCCCAACCACAGCAGCTATGCAAACATACACACACACACACTCATAGAGAGAGACCGCAGATACACACAAACACTGCTCAAGTTCGCTGTTAGTAACTAGGTAACGCACGACTGCAGGATATCCTGTAATTAGCTGTTGAGTGTTTCCAATAGAGATGTGCTTAGTTTTGATCTACTACTTGTGCTTACTAAGATTGCAATATGCCTTTTATTTATCTTTATCGATATTTCATG